AAAGTGAGTCCCCCAGCCTCCCAGGAGCTCGCGGGCCCAGCTTGGCTATGACGTGTGGGCAAGGCGGCCGGCCTCTCCACGATGGGGTCCAGCCTGCTATTTATACTCTCCGGATGCCATCAGACAAGCCGCGTAGCAGACGCCTTCAAGCCCAGCACTGCTCCTACATCTCATCCAGCATATCGGCCAGGACCCACTGCGCGTTATCACAAGTGGCTCCACAGATAAGAGCTTCCGCCCCCGCGGTGTTATTTTCGGGAGCACTCGGGACAGGCCGGGATGGAGGCCCGGGTCATCTGTCATCTTTCCCTTCATTGACACCCGAACACAGGCAGAACAGAGACCAGCGCCTTGTGGAGGCTGGAGCGGATCTACCACCAGCCCTCCCTCGAGGCCGCTGGGCGGGGAACCCCACGCACACAGCCACCGCAACGCTCCTATTCCATTTTGCTACAGCTCCATTAGGCTGTCCGTGCCCCAGCGGGGGCCCAGTTCAAGGACAGGGGCCCTGAGCCCACGGGGGCCAATGTCCCCCCCCAGCCCCCACCTCCACATCCGTACCCCTGGGATCCGTGCACCTGCTGTGGAGGTGTGTGGTGGGCTTGGGCTCCATTCCAAGGCCAGACGCAGAGTTCTCGTGTGAATGTGGAACCCTGAACTCAGAACCCCAGGGGTGCCCAGCCGAGAGCAAATGCTTGGTTTACTGTGCCACACCTTGCGGAGGTTCATGGCTGCGTCAGGTACCCGTCGCAGGAAGAGGAGAGAAGTGGGGGGGCGCAGCTGGGGGCTCTGTGTGTGTGTGGCCTGTGGAGGGGTCTCTGCGGGGAGGGAGAGGGGGATGGGAGGCTCGGCATCGTTTAGGAGACTCGAAGGTGGTGCCACAGCAAGCAGGGCCGCTGGCCAAAGGACCGGCCTGCCCAGCCGAGGACGTTCCGGAGCCTCACACCCGCGGAGCTCCTGGCAGGGGACCCAGCCGTCACCACCTCCCCGGGGTCCTGGGGGCCGGGGTGCGTCTCAGCTCTCCCTCTCGCCCAGTAGAAGTCGGTAGAAGGCTGGGTGGCACCGTCTGCATGGGCACCATCGCCCCAACGTGGCTTCCCCGGACACTTGTCACCAAGGGTCACACACTGAGCACCTGACAACACCACGGACGCAGTCTCCTTGGCTCCAGAGCCCTGTGAAGAGCCGCTTTCCCCTGAGGCTCTGCCCCGGGGACCCTCCCCAAGCCTGGCCGGCAGCCAGCTCCACTGGGGGCTCCCGGAAGCAGGGGGGGGCTTCCGTCCCCGGACCCCTCACCTGCGGATCCTGAGGGTCACACGCGGACCGCCCTCCCCCCACCCCTCAGCTCCCAGGCTGGAGCCTGGCTTGCTCTCCATCGTTCCCAGGCATTTGTGGCTGGGAACAGCTGTGCCCACCTGGGCCTGTGAGTGGTTGGCACAGGCAAGGCTTTGCCTATAGCAGAGAGGTGCTCACATCCCGCGTGCCCACGGTGTCCCTCCGCCCCCCAGGGGATGGGCCAGCCGCCCCATGCGGTCTTTCCCCGGGCAGCTTCTTCCCGCTGGTCCTCTCCTCCATCTGCCCCTGGGCCTCAGGGGACCCCTGCTTGCTTCCCGTCGCCCTCCTCCACGGCGCCTGGCTCCCATGATGCCAGCGCCCTCCTGGAAGCCAGGCCCTGCTCTCCTGCCCCCCTCCTGCCCGGTCCGGCCTCCTCCTCCACCGGCGGCCCGTGTGCTCCCTTGATCGCTTCATCGCCCACAGCGTGGCCGGCCGTGAGGCCTTCGGGCTTTGTGGTCCACGGCGTGTGCTTCATGCAGAGGCCAAATTGGACCCCGGGACCTGGCTCGATCCCTCCCCAGGACAAAGGAGTAGAGGCTGCAGAGTCTGAGGCACCCAGAGCAAAAGGATTGCAGCCCTTGTCCAAAAGCCGGTAAGAAGTTTAAGACATCCAGCAGGCCCAGCGCCCTGGCTGGCGGTGGCTGGGGCTTGGCTTGTAACGGGCCAGTGGGGCGGGGGGGAAGAGCGCCTGCCAGGGCAGCGGGGCTGTGCGGGGCCAGGTGCATCCACCGCCGTCCAAGTAGCTGTCAAAACCCCAGAGGTTTGGAGAGCTGCGTGTTTTCTTCTATTTTTACTTCTTCAAATCTAGGACCAAGAGAGGCCAGCGCCAGACTACTGTGGGCCCGAGCCAGGAGGCACTGAGGCACAGGCGGAGGGGGTTGAGGAAATGGTCACGCTTGCCGTGGGTGCCGTGGATGGGAATGGGGGGGGGGGGGCTCGCGCTGGCAGCACTGAGCAGCACCTGCACCTAGAAAGGCCCCTCAGCCCAGGACCTGCCTGATCCTAGGGGCCAGCCTGAGCCCCAGCATGGCCGCTCAGCCGGTCGAGGCAGCACCAGTAAGTGATAAGGACCCCGGAGACTCTGAGTAGAACGAGGGTTCCAGAACAGGAGGGTCACCCCCAGAGCCAGGAGCCCGGGGCTGCATCTCTGCATGTGTGGCTGGGGAGGCTTCTGCGTGGATCAGCCTGCAGCCTGTGCCAGACCCCAAATGTGACGCAGAGAGACAGTAAAGGCCTCAGGAGGAGGCACAGGCTGGGTGATGGGACCACAAGCCAAGGGATGCCGACGAGAGGCATGATGGGCCTCCCACCACCTCCAGAGGCCCATCAAGTTCTGTTGTTCCAAGCTGCGGAGGTGTGGAAACTGGCTGCAGTGACTGCAGGCAATGGTCGCTCACCAAAGGCCAGATCTGGAGAAGGAAGGGCTGCGATACCCACCACCTTCATGGGGTCCCAGCGGCCAGATGGGGACCCCCCTTGGGAGTGAGCAGCAGGGTCAGGACTGTTAGTATACCGGCAGGTCAAGATCGCCTCAGGTCAAGGCCTAGGAACGCCAAGCACACGGGATGGAGGCCCACGCCCTGAACACAGCCGGGAATGGAGCCTGGCGGACAGGGTTTGGGGGGACAAAGCTGAGAGCTGGGGATCCCATTTCCCATGCAGCCCCAGGAGATTCTAGGCAGGGGGTTTGTCTTCCTGGTCCAGCCATTGTTAGCCGGGGGCACGTGACGCTCGTTGCCTGTCTGTGTCCAGCAGCAGCGGGCAGGGGAGGGAGGAAGTGTGAACAGGCCAGAGAAAGGCAGAGGAAACAAGCCAGGGACGTGGCCACGGGGCCCACCACGGTGGAGCGAAGCCACGGGGCCCGCCACAGACATGGCCACAGGGCCCGCCACGGCGGAGCGAAGCCACGGGGCCTGCCATGGACATGGCCACAGGGCCTGCCATGGCGGAGCGAAGCCACGGGGCCCGCCACGACGGAGCGAAGCCACGGGGCCCGCCACGAACATGGCCACAGGGCCTGCCACGGCGGAGCGAAGCCACGGGACCCGCCGTGGTGGAGCGAAGCCACAGGACCCGCCACGGTGGAGTGAAGCCACGGGGCCCGCCACGGACATGACCACGGGGCCCGCCATGGCGGAGCGAAGCCACAGGACCCGCCACGGTGGAGCGAAGCCACGGGGCCCGCCACAGACATGGCCACAGGGCCCGCCACAGCAGAGCGAAAGCCACGGGGCCTCGCGTTCCTGCAGCCAGTGCCTCTTCCATCTTCACCTCCCACGCTCACGGGAACATGGGCACGAACAGATGTGCATCCGCCCGTTCTTAACCAGTCGCTGGCCTTCACCTCTTGTGAGGGGTCGCAGGGTGCTGTGGAGGCTGCGGTGCCGGCTAGCCTCGCCCGTCCCCGGCCAGGGCAGTGGGCAGGAGCGGCCAGGTGGCCAGCATGGCTGGTTACTCAAGAGAAGACAGATTTGGGGACTTTCCCCTCTACCTTCTGATTTAAAACATGTTGGCAGTGAATTGACATTTAAAAAATGTGTGAGCAGCATTGCGGGGAATAAGACATCCTCGGGCCACATCTGGACCTTGGGTCTCTGGCCTGGAAACGAGAACAAAGGCGAAATTGTGCAGCAGAGCACTGACAGGAGAGTGTGGTAATCACGGCTGCAACTCATTAGGCACAGTGGCTGGGCCAGTCGATGCTGGAGGGGTCGGTGCCGGAGGGGTCAGTACCAGAGGGGGTCAGTAGCAGAGAGGTCAGTACCAGAGGGGTCAGTGCCAGAGGGGTCAGTGCCGGAGGGGTCAGTATCAGAGTGGTCAGTATCAGAGGGGGTCAGTAGCAGAGAGGTCAGTACCGGAGGGGTCAGTGCCAGAGGGGTCAGTATTGGAGGGGTCAGTACCAGAGGGGGTCAGTAGCAGAGAGGTCAGTACCAGAGGGGTCAGTGCCAGAGGGGTCAGTATTGGAGGGGTCAGTACCAGAGGGGGTCAGTAGCAGAGAGGTCAGTAGCAGAGGGGTCAGTGCCAGAGCCACAGGGGCCAGGGGTCAGTACCGGAGGGGTGACTTAAACTGCACCTATTAGGTGACCTTAGTCACACTTCAAAAAGCCTGGAGCTCAGCACACCCAGAGCAGTGGGGTGTGCCCGCCCCCCCCCCCCCCCCCCCGCCTGGCAGCCGCAGTCCCCACTGGCCTGGCCTGCAGGGCAGCAGCTCCTCACTGCTCAAGGGCTGTGCGGTAGACCACGGCTGCTTTCAAGTTTTGGGTGAACATCCCTCCACACCCCCCCACCCTGTTTCTGTTCTTGTGCCTCGCTTTTATTGGGATGACTGAATCTTTCAGCTATGCTAGCCGTAAACAGTGCTCATTTAACCCCCCCCTGCCCCGCCCCCGAAGCAGCTGCTGACAGCTGGGCTGTAATTCAATCAAGGATCTCTGCAGTCAGGGCCTACCAGAGTCCCATTTGTTGCGTGGATGCATCTGCGGCCCAGAGCGGTACACAGCTGCAGTAAAATATCAACGGGCGCTCGCTTCGCCCCAGGCCTAGACAAGAAACGGCGAGTTTGCGGTGGGGGCCGAGGCCCTGTGCGGCGCTCTGGGAAATCCAAGGACGGCCCAGTGGGGAGAGGACAAACTGACAGGCCAAGAACCACACCACAAGCCTCCTTGTTCTGCAGAGTCAAAACCCTTTTATTTCATCTAGTCATACAGAATTTCCACTAAGGACCACTTTCTTAAACAGCCACGGGTACAACTGGTCCAACCATTAATAAATAGTCTTAAATAAGAAAACAAACAGGTTGTAAGAAAGCGAGCTCACTGGTCCCCAACAAGGATGCAAAGAGCTTTCGGGAGAGCTTCCGATGGAAATAAATAATTTCTTTGTCTTGTCACAACTATTTACATGTTTAAACGTACACATGAGAACTCAAGGCAGGTAGGAGCGGTGCGTGTGGGCAGACCGAGAGTGGGAGACGGGCCAGCACACAAAACGGGTGAAACAGAAATGCTGCCCCTCGCCGTCGCCACGCGGCGTCCAGGCCGTTGCCCAAGCGACTGAAGGAGAAAAAAATAAGGGCGTACAAGTAGAACCCAGGAAGCAACTCCATGGAGGCAGAGAAGGGCTCCCAGGGGGCTGGACTCCACAAGGCCACAAGGCTTGCCTGGGCAGCCTGTGTGTTGGTGCAAACTCGGGAAATGTGTGCACACGGCTTCTCCAAGGCCTTGTGCTCAAGACAATCCTGTGATGAGACTCACAGGAGGACTCGTCCCAAGAGCCACGTCCGAAATGCCATCCCCAAGTCGGACACGTGGTCGGATTGCCCTCTACAACCGCTGTCTGCAGCTGGCCGTTGGCACACCCTGCACACGTGAGACACACCCACACCCACGCTCTCTCCCTCGTTCTGAGAAACCAGGGCACTGCCGGAGAGAAGCCACACATGGACTCCATCCGAGGCCAGGGCTTCATTCCCTCGGTGCTTCTCAATGTCACGGGTAAGCTGTACGTCCCATCCTACCTGCTGCCCCGTCCCTTCCGCGGTTTCTCAAGTATCCCCTGCTACGTGGCGTGGGGGCCCCTGCGCTCTGCAACATGCTCCCATCCTCCTCCTCCAAGCAGACCGCTGTCCTTCCCCTCCCTGGAATCTCTGATGCAGTCCGGTGTGTGCAGACGCCCCTGCAGCCTCAGACCGAAACCAAGCGGCAGAGGGGCCTCGCTGTCCTCCGCCGGCCGCAAGCTTCTGTTTACAAAATCAGAGTAAACCAAGAAACGGGGATAAACTGTTTAGGAAACATATCTGTAACATCCTGGCCGCTTTCATTCATTCGTTTTATTGTGACATTTAGTAAAGAAACTTCCGCTGGGCCTCCCTTCAGCACAGAGACCGTGGGCGCCACCCCTGGCCACGCCCCTCCTCCGCACCGGTGCCACCGGTGGCAGGGGGCGCAGGCGCAGTGCGCGGAGGCGGGGCTGCACAGCCGCGCCTGGGCCCGGCTGGTTTTCTTTGTGGATTATTTTTCCGGCTGGTCTTTCTCTGGCAAAGCTGGCCAAGATCTCATCCACAGGTGACTAAGCAATCGAAGCTCCGACCCCAGTGAGCTGGGGAGGGGAGAGGTCCCAGGGACGGTGGAGGGCCTCGGGAGCTTCTGGGTGGATCCGGAGAAGTGTGGCCGGAAGGGTTGGATTCCTGGAAGGCCTAGTGGCAGCCGCAGGCCCGCACCACCATGTTCCTGTACTTCTTCAGAATGACGTTGGAGCTGTCGTCGAAGTAGAGCACAGAGATGGCGTTGAGCTGGGTGGGTGCGCAGCAGGGCTTGGGCACCGTGTCTGGGTTGATGAAGTGGACCTGTAACGCACCGAGCGTGGACTTCCGTGAGAGGCGTGTGAGTCCCTGCGAGTGGCCCCGGCTCCTCTACTGTGCTGCCTCCCTCGTGCCCCCCATCCCCCTATACCCCCCAACCCAGGTGGGGGGTACCCACCAGCGTCTGCACAATGGCGTGGTTGGTGGCGTTCATGTAGGAGTTCAGCGGGAAGGCGCATTCTCCCTCGCAGTAGTAGGCCGCATAGCCCTCGGGTGCGATGATCCAGTCCTGCCCAGGGAGAGGAGCACAGGCGGCCAGGGCCAAGGTCAGCAGAGGCTGGGGGCCCAGGGAAATGAGCGTGGCTGCTCACGCTCGCCGCAGAACGAAAGCCAAGGGCAAGGCGCGGCAGGGCCGGGCCACGGCAGAAAGCGCATGCCTGGAGCGGCCATGCTTCCCGGGTGGCAGGGGCAGCAGCAGGGGAGGCTTGGTGCCAGGCAGATCTGGTCTAGCACCCACTCCGCCACACCCCAAAGCTTCAGCAGCTGCAGCCCGCCGGAAGGAGCCCTCTGCGCTCTGGGTGCACTTCTCTGCCAGGAGACCAGGGAGCCACCACGCGGTGGCGGATGCCAACAGCCGAGGCGGGCACGGGGGCCCTGGGCCCGTTCCACGCTGGTCCTCGAGGTCCCCAAGCACCCGTGCAGCCCCTCACGGTGAGGGCACACCAGGCCTCCCGCAGACGCCCCTGGAGTTGGGGCTCTGCCCAGCTCCGGCCCACATGTGCTCCCTGCCACCCTTGGTCATGGCACCACCGTGAATCCCAGGACAGACCACAGGAGACCACCGTGCTGCCGTGGCACCTGTGTTCTGTGGGCGACTGGCCTGAGCGCGCTGAAGAAACCGGACTCCCCAGTGAGCTCACTCACCGGACTCCCTTACACCCCTGCTGGGGCTCTCCCCCACACTCCCCAGGGGGCTCTCAGCAGATTCTCCTACTGGACTCCTCTCGGCTCTGCACTGGACTGACTCCCCCCTGGCTCTCTCCTTGGGTTCCCCACAGAGCTCCCACATGGAGAGCAGCACCATCTTATAGCATCTGGGCTCCGTGGGGCAGTCCCGTGCTCAGCCACGCTGCACCACGCAGAGCCCCGAAGGCCGCGGTGCGCCCGGCAGCTGCTGAGGGGCCTCCCCGCCCTCTCCACCTGGGCGGACGCGGTCGAAGGGCTGCGCTCCCACGATCCCACCCGGAAACCACGCGAGGGCCGGTGGCCGGGGCAGAGGGGAGCTGGCCATGCCCCACATTCCACATTCCCCGCCAGGCGTGGGGAAGCAGCAGGCCACGGGCAACAGGCGGGGCCGGGTACGTGGAGAGTCCAAAGGGTCAGGGTTCCTAGCTGCACCGGGGCCCCAGCCCAATTCTGCTCTCTGGTTTCAGGGACCCCCCTCCCCGTACCCTTCGCCCTAGTCCTCCCCTGCCAGTCCACCCAGCACTGGGGCACACACTGGCCAAGAGGCCAAGCCGGCCCCCACTCACCGCACTGGGGAAGCAGCCCCTCGCCTGGCCACACCAGAGTCCTGGTGAGCCTCAGAGCCCTGACCGGCCCTGACCGGCCCTGACCAGCCCTTACCTGCCACCCCAGGTCCCGGAAGCTGACGTAGAGCTCATGCTTCTTACACGCCTGCCTCTGGTCACTGCTGCTGTTTTCTGCATGGTTGGTGGAGAGCGAGCGCAGGGCCCGGGAGGAGAGACAGGCACAGGCGGTCAGAGGCCCTCCGGGGGCAGCAACCAGGCTTCCAGCCCAGAGACCCCAGCAGGAGAGCGCCCCCACCGCCCCTCACTATGGCTCAAGGTCTGCACTTTCCAGATCTTTTGTAGACATTATTTCCTTTATATGTATGAGGGTTGTTTTCTTTTGTTTTCCAATACTGAGGATTGAACTCCGGGCCTCGAGCTACCACTTGGGCCCTACTGCCTGACCAGCTCTCAGTCTACTTTTTAGGAAGCATTTTGCTAACTTTTTGTGGGGGCTGGCCTCATAATGATGCTCGGCTCTCTCCTTGCCTGGGATTACAGGGATGTGCCACTGTACCTGATCTGATACGTGTGTTTTTTGTTTTGTTTAGTCTTTTGGTGGATAGAACCGGGATTTGAACTCAGGGCCTTTTGCCTACTAGGTAGGAACTCTACCACTTGAGCCATGCCCTGAGATCTCTTGCTCTTTTTTTAGTTTCTGAGGTGGTCTTTGTGGTGTTTGTACCCCGGGCTAGCTTTAGCCCACAGCCCAGCACCCACGCCTCCGCTCACAGGTGCAATGCCCAGCCCACAGCCTTGTACCCACGCCTCCGCTCACAGGTGCGATGCCAGCCTGGCTGGATGCCGTCTTGCTCACTTTTTGCCCAGGCTGGCCTCACACCACAGTCCTCTGGAGTGGCGTGGCGGGGGCAGGAGGTGGGGGTACAGAGGACGGAGCCCTTGCCACCACCAAGAAGAAGCCGGAGGGCTGCAAGGTGGAGACCTTGAAGCCTCCTACACGCAGCGGGGCAGCGGCTTTCCAGATAGGCTGTAAGCGCTGGCAAAGCTGCAGTCATAGCTGACGGCTGCACACACACATGCACACTGAAATCCCCCTCCCCCTGCTCACACATACACTGCGCTCCCCCCTCCCCATGCACACTCACATTGCACACTGAGAGGGGCTGGTGTGTTGTTGACCACACCTGTCTTCCTCTCCCGGACACTCGCCAAAGCTGCCTGATAGACTCAGAGCCACCCAGAACCACCTCAACACCAAGCCAGCGTCACAACAGCCTCTTCCCGGGCTCCAAGTGTGGACCTCTGGAGCTCCACTGTCTTGGAGAGGGCGCAGCTCCCGGGCAGCACCAGGTGACTTCTCAGAGCAAAGCACCCGGACGCCAGCACCCCTCCCCCACAGCCCAGCCCTCCCCCCCAAGCCCTGGGAAGCCACCAAGTCAGGACCAGTGCATGCACATGGCTGCCACTCTGCGGGTCATCTGGTGAAGGTGGCCTTTGCCAGGGTGCTGGGCCCCAAAGGGGACCAGGGACCCAGGCAGGCTGCCCACCCTAAGCCACATCATCCGAGGAGCAGCTGGAGGCCGGCGGCAGGAGGCCAGCCTCCGGGAAAGACGCTCACAGCAGTGGCGACACGGGTTCCACACACAAAGGCTGCACGGGGAGAGAACGCAACTTGTGTGGCCCCACAGCCCACGGGGGGGGGGGGCACTGCAAATGCTCAGGGCCACGCGGGGCAGGGGCACTTCAAACACTCAGGGCACGCCCATGCACGCCGGCCGGGCTCAGAGCCCAGGGTGCCGCCCAGGCCCAGCTGGCTTTCAATTAAACTCCCAGGCAGGGCTGAGAAGAACTTAGAAGCCCAGGGCACTGAGACGCACAGGAAGGAGCCAATCCCAAGCCAGGGGAGCAGCTGCTGTGTAAGGCAGTGGGGGGTCCTTGGGGGGGGGGCCTGGGCGGCAGATACCCCCCCAGGGCCCGGAAAGGATGCTGTGGGAAGTTGGGGGTAAGGCTGTTCTGTCTCCTCACTCTCAGCACACACCTGGCAGGGCTGGGGGGTGGGGGGGCATGGCTGGGATGGGGCATCACAGTACTTTCTTCCAGGAGGGTTTACGAGAGCTTCCAATGGCCTCTGGGCTCTGAGCTGGCCCCCACACCCTCCTGCACCCACCTCTCTCGGTGCAACCTCACAATGCACGAAACTTGCCCCTCATCTAGGGACGGAGATCCAAGACATGGCTCCCAGGGAAATCACCACCTCGTTCCAGCCAACATAGCCTCCAAACGCCACAAAACCTCCCACCACAGACCTGCATCGCCTGCTGGGTCTACAGCCAGCAGCAGCAGGACCAGCCCAGCCTCGCTCGGGACTCGGAGCTCACTGCCCATGGCGTCCCATCTGCACCCCTGGAGAGCGCCAGGGTCCCCCTTGCCCCTCCCCTGGGGCCTGTCACCACACAGACGTGGCCGATGACCGGTCAGCCCATCTGAATGACCCCTTGGGGTGGCCCCTTCCGGCTTCCGCCACTGAACCCCAGCCCAGGGAGGGTCCCCAGATAAGGAAGGGGTCAGTTGGAGTTGCATCTGGATTTTGCATTTGTGAAGCTTAGAAAAGAGTCCAGAAGAGAAGCCACAGGAGATCCCTACCCACACTCAGGACGACTCTGTGGGGCTGGGAGCACGGATTACAGCAGTGTCTGGCCTCAACGGCACCATCTTGTAAGAACAGCTCGGACCTGTGCCTGTCTACTGTGAGTGTGACTGCCCACAGCAGGTGCATGCACACCTGCGCGTGTACCTGCGCGTGCACCTGCGCGCGCAGCGAGGAAAGGTCTCACCTCTGGCCCTTCTCAGAGCCTCTGTGTTGCTCACAATGAAAAATGACGACTCCATCTTTCATGCGCTTACCTTATAGTGATGAAACATTTCAAATAAAATCTAAAAGTACCCAAATAAGATGTAATTAAAACCCTCTCATTCATACTGAAAAAGGATTTGAGTGGATCACATTTTTCGCTTTTGTTTTTGATGGTACTGGGGATTTGAACTTAGACCCTCACATTCTACTAGGCAGGTGCTCTACCACTTGAGCCAGGCCCCCAGCCCTCTAGTTATATTCCAGATAGTTTTAGTCTCCTGACCCCCTGCAGGGCCAATCTCAGACTGGGATCCAAAAACATACATCCTTCCACCTAGATGGGATTACTGGCATACTCCACTACATCTAGCCATCTAGCTGTGTGTTGAGATGGGGTCTTGCCAGCTTCTTTGACCCTCCTGAATTCTACCTCCTGAGTGAGAAGGACCACAGGCACGAGCCACCACGCTCAGCCCAAACTTCACATGTGTTTCATTTTAAGAACAGAAGAAGCAAACCTTGCTGCTCTGAAGGAGTGACTCCCCTCCTTCCCCAAAGCCACCCCACCCTGTTTGCACGGCTCCCCTTCAGCCCAGTGGGCATTGGTAAAGCCGCTGTTGTGTCTATGTAGAAACGGACACAATGGGCACCTTGTTCTATGTGTGTTCTGCTATTCACATTTCTAGACTAATTCCCGGCTTTTAACAGGATGGGGATGTTCGCTCCACACAGCAAGCGACGGAGTCTGCTGCAGACCCATCTGCTCGGCACCCGCACGGATTCCCGTGACCTTGGCTGGGCCTATGGGGCTCCTGGTCCTCCACCTGGCCGTCCTCCACCTGGCGGTCCTCCCGCCCCCAGGGCCCGAGCGTACCTGCCACGTTGGCCAGCCTCAGCGCCTCCTGGTTCTTGGGCGTCTTGGAGCGGTTCTGGCTGCGCTGCTTCGCCCCCGTGGAGCGGGCACTGCGGAGGTGCACTTCCGTTGCCTTGAAGAAGGCCACCATGAAGGGCTGCTTGTTCTGGGGCCCGTGCCGCCCGATCAGCCCCGCCAGCTTGGGGTTGATGCTCTGCCCTAGAGCGGAAGCGGGAAGGCACAGAACTGTGGGCACAGGGCAGGGGAGAGGGGCTGAGGGCGGGCTAGAGGCTGAGCATCCGCCTCACCCACCCTGGCGCTGCCGGCCAAGCATGCGCTCTGCACCCGGGAAGGCGGGAAGGCGTGCTGTCCCCGGGACTTCCGTGCAGGTGGGGAGGGGGGGTTGGGTGAGCACACAGCATGGGGAGGGACCCAGTGGCGATGAATAAGTGCATGGAGAAAGGCCAGGCCAGACAGGGGGCAGGGAGCCAGGTCAGGGTTTTGTGGGTTTGTCAGTCACAGGGCTTGAACTCTGGGCCTGGGCGCTGTCCCTCAGCTCTTCAGCTCAAGGCAAGAGCTCTATCACGTGAGCCACAGCGCCACTGCTGGTTTTCTAGTGGTTTACTGGAGATAAGAGTCTCACGGACTTTCCTTGCCTGGGCTGGCTTTGAACCATGATCCTCAGCTCTCAACTTCCTGAGTAGCTAGGATGACAGGTGTGAGCCACCAGTGCCCGGCCAGGTCAGGGTTTTAATGACCGTGTGACCTGGTGACAGCAAGAGAGGAGCCCCGAGGGCAGCTGAGATGGCCAGGCACAGGGGCCAGCAACAGCAAATGCCTGGAGGTGGGGCAGAGGGTAGGGTCCAGGGGCAGCTGCTGGGGGACAGTTGGCCCTGTCTCAGCGAGCACCTGCTGTGTCCTCCAAACTCAGGCCACCCAGAGGCTCGCAGATGGCTTGCTTTGGAAGTGAGGTCCCTGCAGGTACAATTCCTCAGGGAGCAGCCACCCAGGGTGAGGGGCCTTGAGCCAATGGCTGGCGTCCTTGAGAGAGGTCATGAAAAGACCCGGAGGCCCTGACCCACGCAGGAAGAGCCGCCTGCAGCTGGAGGCTCAACAATGGGACTTGAACTCGAGAGCGTCACACTTCCTTGGCAGACGCTTTACCATGGAGCCACACCTCCAGCCTTTTTGAGACAGGGCCTCTGGCTTATGCCCAGAACCACGATCCTCCTATTTAAAATTTCTGTGTAGCTGGGGTGAAAGGTGTAAAACACTGCACACCCAGGCTCAGTGCATAGCCACGAAGGCCAGCCCGGGGCCGAGGCCTGGCCAGCAGCTCCTTAGCTTGAGAAAGGGGTTCACAGCCAGAGCTCCTGAGCTAACAGCTAAGCCAGGTGACCTCTCCCCTCGCTTGAGGCCAAGGTGTGTGGCAGCGATTGTGTGGGGAGGGATCTGGGGGGTGGACAGAGGCCCCAAGAGGCCATGGAGTGCCGGGAACAGAAGGAACGGTGGACGAGGCAGAGGACTCAGGATGGGCTGTCTACCCACGATGAAGTCACTGTGGATACAAGCTCAAGGTCATAGCTCTGGTGATGACCGGTCCACGGGGGAAAAAGCCAGAGGGAGTCAAAGTCTATGTGCACAAGACAGAACAAGCTCAGAGAGGCTGAGTGACCTGCCCAACAACACCCAGCTTGGCACCAGCACGGTGGAATTTGAACCCACAGCACGCCGAGTCAGGACACATACCCACCATGGCTACAATGCCACCAAGCCAAGTGAGAGGAGGCAGGGTCTCCCCAAAGTGGCAGCTCTGGGGGAGCTGGGCCATCTACATTTGGAGTTCACTTCCGGAGGCCCCCGCCCCTCAGGCCAGTCAGAAAGCAATCAACACAGCTCCCCAGGCCAGCTCAGGACTGGGCGGGGGGGGGGGGGGGGGGGGGGCGGCTGCTTTGGCTTAACAGCGAGCACTTGAGAGGATGTTTCCCACCGCCACCCCGAGTTTACCTTGCCCCCTCCCCCCATCAACGTCTGGCTTTTCTGCATTCTTGAGCGGGGTTTCCCTGAGTTCATCCATCTATAATGGGAGAGGTTCTATAAAAAAAAAACACACACACACACAACAAAAAACCATTAAAGCCAAGCCCCCAGGAACGGCCATTCCCCCTGGAAGGCTTTTAAAATGAGCAATATAAAAATGCCTGGTCTGCAAGCCATTGCTGGCGCACGCGCAGTCCCTGCCCGGCCCCGCAGCCCCGCAGAGGCTCTGAGCATGAGGCTCCCGTCGCCTCCCCGAGGGGCGGCAGGTGAGGACAGACTCCCGCCCCTGGCCCCAAACCTGGGAAGAGATCCAGGGTGGCTAGCTGGAGGCTGAAAGGCACCACCACAGGCACAGAAAACCACCGGGGCCCGCGGGCTGGCGGTCAGTCAGGCACGGTCACCCTGTGAGCCCACGCCCGTGTCTGGGCAGTAACCTGGTGACGGCTACAGGCAAGCCACATTGTCCCTAACAACCCGAAAGCTGGATCCAATGCCAGGGTCTCGGGACCAGTGTGGGCGGGTGATTGGCGGGGGGGGGGGGGTGCTGGGGACGGGGAGGCGTCTGGGTAGGTGACTGGGCGGGGGCAACACCATGCCCTCTCCCCACTGCTGCCAACAGCACCCCATCTGTGACCATCAGCAATGTCTCCTGCTGTGTGCCCGGGGTGAAGAAAGTCCCCGACAGAGCGCTCCGTGTGCAGTCTGAGGAGCTACCGCTGAGGGCTTTTGCTTTGTGGGTGCTGTTTTTAACCCAGGCCTTGTTCCTGCTAGGCAAATGCCCTACCACTTACTTCGTTCTCCGAGCTCTCTTATTGTTATTTATTTGTGCACGTGTGTGCGTGCTTGCACTTGTCCTGGAGCTTGAATTCAGAGCCTGAGTGCTGTCCCTCAGCTTCTGTGCTCAAGGCTGATATTCTACTACTTGAGCCAGAGCTCCACTTCTGGCTTTTGGTGGTTCACTGTAGATGAGAATCTCATGGACTTCCCTATGTGATCCTCAGATCTCAGCCTCCTGAGAAACTAGGACTTTCCTGTCAGGTCTGGCTTGGAACTGTGATTCACTGATCTCAGCTTCCTGAGTAGCTGGGATAACAGGCGTGAGCCACACAGCACCAGGCTTATCACTGACAGTTAACTATAAATAAGTAATTGCATGCTGCTAACGAAAGCCAATACCTTATAACTACAACAACTGTTACATACACAGTAAATTTTATGTTTATTTATTTATTTATCTATTTACTTATTTTGAGGCAGACAAGGTTTTATTGTAAACCCAAGGCTGGCCTGTGATCTTCCTACCTCAGCCTCCCAAGTGCTGGGATTACAGGTGTGTCCCACCGCACCCAGCCTCAACAAGGATTATTGCAGGGGATAATGTTTTTCTTCTTTGTGATGTCAGGATATGATGTTATAATGTATCAGCTTTGCTTCATAAATCCAACTAATTGCTTTGATTATCTGTATTTTAGTATGCAGCCAGAGGCAGGCATGGTAGCTCAGGTCTGTAATCCCGGCACTCAGGAAGTAGAGGCAAGAGGATCACAAGCCCTAGGCCAGCCTAGACAACATAGCAAGTCCAAGACCAGCCTGGGTTACATAGCAAGAGAAGGGAGGGAGGGAGGGAGGGAGGGAGGGAGGAAAAAAAGGCCACTAAGAATATATAAGGCTGGCCGGGCGCTGGTGGCTCACGCCTGTAATCCTAGCTACTCAGGAGGCTGAGATCTGAGGATCGCGGTTCAAAGCCAGTCTGGGCAGGAGAGACCGTGAGACTCCTATCTCCAATAAACCACCAGAAAACTGGAAGTGGTGCTGTAGCTCAAGTGCTAGAGCACTCGCCTTGAGCTGAAGAGCTGAGGGACAGCGCCCAGGCCCAGAGTTCAAGCCCCACGACCGACAAAAAAAAAAAAGAATATATAAGGCAGGTGGAAATGGGTTGATTAATGCGGACAGAAAGACAAGATATACAGAACGTTTTAAACTATGAAATCTGTGTCTTTGGGAAAATTGGAGAGGATTTCCACTTTAGCTAAAAGTTAAGATTTTTTTTGTTAAAGCTTAGGAATGGCCAACTTTTGCAAATGGAAGGCAGAACATTCTCCTGAACTTGAACTTCAGATAAGCAAAAGCCTTCCCCAGTGTGCACGATCGTGTATCGTACTGAGTCACCCGGGATCTGTGTCTCACCTTGGAGGGGTCCTCCCCAAGGCCGGGCGCTGTGGCGATGCCCGTGCTCTGGGCCCACAGGCGGCAGGACTGAGGGGCGCCTGGCAGGACTGAGGGGTGCCCTGGCCTTCCAGCCAGGAAGTGAGCCACGTGTCAGATGAGGAGAGCGCGTGGCTCGTGGGAAGCCAGCAGCCCAGGGCCCCATGGACGCGAGATGACGTGCTTCACCACCATGCCACCTCCAAGGGGGGGTGTGGAGAAGGGACCCCCGAATTCAGCCAACACACCATGCCTACATGGAGCAGCTGTCCAAGGCCTGGGCGGCCTTCGGAAGGGCGCGGGAGGGGAGGGGAGGGGAGGGGAGGGGAGGGGCAGCTAAAGGGCAGGTTGAGAACAGGCAGGACCGTAGGTGGCACTTGACTGCCTGGTGACCATGACCGGGTGCCCCAAGCGGCGCCCAGGCTCTTCTGAAGATTCCAGATGGCAGGCAGAGAGCCCAATTGGGGCTCAGAGGCCACCCACAGAGAGGGCAGCACCCCAGCTCTCTGATGGCTTGTTTTCCAGGCCCAGGGCCATCACCGCCCCTGGGGCCCTCAGCATAAGAGTGTTCCTCATTAACTGTGGGAAGCAGATGAATCCCAGCCTCTGCCCTGCATGGACCCGGGACCAAGTGACAAGTGAGAAGGCGGCTGAGCGTGGCATCCGCCAGGCCGCGGTGACCCAGCAGCCACCCTGCCTGGCCACTGTGCGAGGACGGACCCCAGGCCCCCCTTCGCTCCCCCCAGCTCATGGGAAGTGAGGTGATCATGAGGAGTTGGGCTGTGAGTAGCATCGCACCCCGGCCCCGGCTTTCTGCCCGCCACAGGCAAGCCGCGGCCAGCGGGAGGCTCACTTCCACGCACACCGCCCAGCACGGCCCTGCAAGCCCCAAGAAGGACGTGTGCTCTTTAACATGAACACACACTTGTGCCGGGCTGACTCCCGGGGGGGGGGGGGGGGGGCGGGCCACGAGATGAGCAGCCAAAGCGGCAGGTGCGGGAGGCACCGGCTGTGCACGGAGCGCAGGGGCAGACGAAGGCAGGGTCCTCGGGTTGGAGGCTGGTGGGCGCCATCCTCCTGAGCCTGTGCTGCCTTCGAGCCAGCCAAGCCCAAACATCGCCCCGGCTGCAGCGCTGTGGGGTAGGGAGCAGCCCGGGGCGCAGCACTGGTCCACACAGCCTCAGCCTCTCCTTCCAGGTGTGGCCCCTGACTCACTGTCTGTCTCCTCAAACCTTCCTCACCCACAGGCTGTCTGCTGAGTGACCAGCATGTGCTGCCCACGTGAGCAAAGTTCCTGCAGGGGTGGGGTGGGGAGGGGGTCAGCATGGCTCTCATCCCGGCAGACAGCGCTCAGGGCCAATAGTACACTGAGGGGACCGTGAAAGGTCCCTTAACATGTAAGTCGGGCATGGTAGTTCACGCCTGTAATCCCAGCTTCTTGGGAAGGGGGGCAGAGGCAATCAAGATTATCGATACCAAATCCACGCCCACCATTGTGGCTACCTGGGAGGCTGCGACTAGGGCTGGGACTACAGCAAGGCCTCCTAGAGCCCACCAGCACTGCTCAGCAGAGGGTGCAGAGCCAAGGAGTCTGTCGGCTCAGGGGTCCTCTCTGCTTCCGCCCAGCCCCAGACAGCTCCATTCATCTCCAGCAACCAGCTTGGGGGGGAGGGGGGACAGGACCGCAGCCCTCACCCCTGCACTGTCCACCCCTCTTTCTGCTGCCTGGTTACCTCCCAGAAGCCACAGGTGCGGCAGCTTCCTCCCCCAAAGTGGGCACGGGGCGGGGGGGGGGGGGGGAGCAGACCCCCCGCAGCTGCAGCAGAGCCAACAGAAGGGCTGCAGCTGGCGAGCAGGGAACAGGCTCTGCGCGTCTCCTGGGTGGTCCTGGAAGGGCACCTCTGACCCAGCCTCCCCCAGGGCAGACGGGGAGGAAGTGAGCACACAGGCCTCCACGTTGGTCGTGGGCAGGCAGGGCCTGGCACAAGCTTCGGAACAAAGCCCTGCAGCACCAGGGCAGCCATTTCCACCACCCATAGGCCCAGGCCTGGGGAGGACGCAGAGGCCCAGGAGGCGGGGGCTGGGAATGCGGGCAGACACCCGGGAGCCCCTCTGTGTCCCTCAACTGTAGCCACAGATACTGCACAGCCAGGACCCGACGGAGGCAACCTCCCCCCTCCCGACACACCCCGGAGCTCTGCCACCACCCTGGGCAGGGCCACAGATCCGAGTCAATGGGTTCCCAAGTTGAGGCTGGCACCAGCAGCTCTGCTAGTAGCTCAGGACCGGGCACACAGCAGGTGGTTTCTGATGGACCAGCCAGGATGGGCAGGGGTGCTGACAGCTGGAGGAGAGGCCCCTGTGGGAGGTGTCACCTTCCAAAATTCGGTCCACAAACAGCCACCACGCGCAGTTTCCCAGGCAGCGTGTGCAGTGCCCACAGTGGGAAACAGCATCCCCCCCCCCCCCCGCCCCACCCAGAGCCACTGACAGCTCTGAGCTGGGGGTCCAAGCCCTCCTGGCTGGAGCCTGGGCAGCGGCGGCAGCAGCCTGGCCAGCCCCCGGGGCTGCCTGGGGCTGCCAGGGAAGGCAGGCTCCCCCTGTACCCCAGACTCGCTTTGCAGTCTCCACACAAACTGCCCAGGATACTGCACTGGGGACGCTTTCAACGAGCAACAGCCACGCCTGCCCGCGGGCAACACGGCCACCATGCAAAGCGAAGGCACACTTTGGTATTTGGGTTTCTTTTGCAATGCTGAGGTTTGAATTCCAGGGCTCGTACTTGCCAGGCAGGTGCCCCACCACCCATCCACGCCCCAGACCTTTTTGCTTTCGTTATTTCTCAGTCAGGGTCTTGTGTTTTTGTCCCGGTCAGCCTGGACAGTGATCCTCCTGTTTGTGCTTCCTGAATAGCTAGCATGACAGGTGCACACCGCCACGCCAAGTTTATTGACTGAGATGGGGGTCTCATGACCCATTTGCCTGGGGCTGGCCTCAGATCGAACTCCTCCCAATCTCTGCTTCAGGAGGAGTTGGGATTACAGGTATAAGTCACCGAACTCAAAGTTCTTCCTCTGTCAACCCACGAAATCTCCTAACAACCCTATAACCCCAGCCCATCCCCATGTGGGGATGATAAAGCCGCAGCTCTGCCAGGTCAGCAAAGCCATCGGAGTCGCAGAGCGGGAGGCAGGCCAACCTTACAGACCTACAACCACACTCTCTATAGGCACAAGTCTTAAAAAGGACACTCCTTCCCGGTGGACAGGGCCAACCTCTAAGAGAAGTTGTCAGATGGGGCGCACTGGGTACACTAGGCTGTCGCTTGTGGGAGAAGATGCAAAGTCGGGTCTATATGCAACCACTCCAATGCCAGAGCGCATCCCCGAAAGTGAGCCCTGATGGAAGTGGCGCTGTGGCTCGAGCGGTAGAGCGCTCGCCTTGAGCCAAAGAGCTGAGGGACAGCGCCCAGGCCCAGAGTTCAGGCCCCACAACCGATTAAAAAAAAGAGTGAGCCCCGAGACAGGCGCTGCCATGGGAAACGGAACTCCGCAGCAAGGGGGAAGGAAGTCAGAGGGAAAGCATTTACTGGTGCACATTCCCATAATGTTTGCCTATGTAGCCATAGGCAAGTAAGCCATAGGCTTCCCAGTCCAGTGTAAGTGGGGGGAAAAATACGTTAAAACCAGTGGAAGTAAAACACTACACACGGAGTAACAGTCCCCATTGAATCAGAAACTCACTGTGGGGCCAGAAGAAATGAGCAGATCCCTACCCCTCCAGCTCTCACTCACTTCCTGTCCACCCTCGGCAGACTGGGTAGGGAGTAGAAGAGGCTGGCAGGGCTGGGGCTGGCTACTGATGGACACTTGGCCCTCGGGTCTAATGTGGGAGAAACAAATGCCTTAGGCATTTGACTGGCAGTATGGACAGTTGTGTCCACACAATCTAAGTGGCACTGGCCTCTGGCGGGTAAGAGCCTAGCAAGCCACTGCCTGTGCCCCAGAGTCAACTTGGCCTAGATAGGTGTCAAGAGCGCACGCTGCCATGTGCAGTGTCACCTCTGAGTGCCGGTCCACGTGTAGCAGGTCTGCTGTGTCTGAGACCGTGCGCCGCTCACAGGCAGAGGCTGCCACCCTGGCTAGGGCAGGGCCACGCGGAGAGGCAGGGCCTTACTCGGCCCGGCTGGGGTCCACGTGCAGGGGACAGGGGCTGGGCATTACGTCCTCGCAGGGAGGGCGAGAGAGCTGGCTGGTGTGGAGGCGAGCATGCGCACAGAGCCCCTCCCCCAGTGCAGGGACACTGGCTGTCCTGGGACCAGCGTGGCGGTGGCCACGGACTCACCATGCAGAGTCTCCACTGAGAGCTGCAGGCCCAGGTTGTGTCGAGGGTTGACCACCCAGTGGTTGCTGGTGGCGGTGATGTCGAATACCAGCCAGCCCTCCTCAGAGGCCCACAGGGTGCGGCTGTCCAGCAGGAAGAGGTCCGACTCCCTGGAGAGAAACAGAGATGGTGCTAGGTTAGCTGGCCATGGCACCTCCACACCAACCACCAGCCCCTTACTGGAGGGGGAGGAGGGGCCCCTGGCAGCCCCACAGCAGGGAGAGGGACAGGGACACACATAGGGGACAGGGCTGCCACCAGGCCATCTGGCCCTAGCCTCGGGGCTTCTTGGCAGGTGGTGCCAACCTGCAGGCTGCTGGAAGCCCCCCCGGTGGGGGGGGGCAGGGCTCTACACACACTTAATCCTCCCAACCTTGATGTGTGAGGAGCAACTTAGTACATGGCACAACATCACTCGTCCAAGGTCACTTAGCCAAGGGTGCTGCGGGGCTGAGCAGCCCTTGCCAGAAGCTTTGTCTTATTCCCTCCCTTCATCCCTTCTTTCCTCCCTCCCTCCCTCCCTCGCTCCCTTTCTCTCCTTTTCCTTTCGTGTGTATATTCAGGTGCTGGTCATTGAGAGAAGGAAAGAGGGTGCCCTTTAGTTCTTTCCCTCGCTTTTTGTAGTAGTGAATTAGCAAAGTCACAATTTGCCCTGTGGATGGGTAGGCAGGTGAGTGGGTGGGGGGTGGATAGCTGGACAGACAGAATGGGCAGACAAATGGATAAATGGATGCAAGGAAAGGCGGATGCTTGAATGGATACATGGATGGGTGGATGTATGGACAGACAGATGGATGTTGGATGGGTGGATAGGGGAGTGAGAGGGTAGCTGAGTAGCTGGGTGAGTGGGTGAGTGGATAAATGGATGGATGGACGGGTAGGTAGGTAGATAGGTAGGTAGATGAATAGTCAGGTGGGTGGCAGATTGAGTGGATGGACAGATAAATGGATGGATAGATGGATGGATGCATGCATGCATGCATGGAAAGCACCATGGTAAAACCCAAAGAGAGTTTCTGCTCTTTACACACAGTCACCAGCTGTGGCAAGTACGTACTGAGCAGTTACTACACGCCAGGCTCTGGGTGTACAGCCTGACCAGCTTCATGTCACCGACTTCTCTGAAGGTTGGGGAACTCTTCCCAGCAGTGTGTGGCTCTCAAGGGCAGCGGCTCAGAAGGCCGGAGTTGTTTACCCAGGATTCTATCACCAGACCAGGAGCCAGCTAGGCAAAACCCAGCCAGGTACCATGCAGGAAGATGGCTCTTCCGGCGTCTCTGCTCAGGTGGGGCTGTCAGCGTCTCCAGGCCTTTGACCAATGAGACTATGAAGAACTTCCCGCTCAGCCAGGGGCGGGAAGCAAGCCGGGGACTCCAGGTGGGCAGGGGTCCTCCTCAAGCTGCCCTCCACAGCCCCCCAGGCAAACCCAGGAATAAACAAACTTACACCATAAACCAGTGTCCTCAAGGGTTGTTTTTTTTGTGTGGGGGGTGGGGAGAGGGCGCCAGTACTGGGTCTGGAACTCAGGGCCAGAGCTTTTCACTCACGGCTGGTGCTCTACCAATTGAGCCACTCCTCCACTTCCAGCTTTTTGGTAATTAGAGATAAGAACCTCACAGACTTTTCTGCCCAGACTGGCTTTGAACCATGATCCTCATATCTCAGCCTCCTGGATAGCTGGGACTACAGAGGTGAGCCACTGGTGCCCGGCCTTCGTTTGCCCTTGAGAACAGGAATGGGGCGGCAGGGCTAGAGATGGGGGAGGGCCGGCAGGGCCTTTGCTACTCCCCACAGTGAGGCAGCTCGGAATCTCCCAGCCGCCCTGGGATCCCCACATCCACCCACAGGTGTGTAAGGCCACTCGTGGCTCTATGAGGCGCTCTGCCAATGCAGCCCCCCCCCCCCCACGTTCCCTGTCTGTGCCCGAGCGCCACGCTCCCAGCTGCTGGTGGAGTCTGACCCCATCTGTGGGGTCTGGACGGACCATGCAGCTCACGGCATGCAGGAGGTGCCCGAGGAGACCAGGCCTGGTGACTCAAGAGGCCTGGTGGCTTCTGGGCTTGTCCTCTGCAAGGCCAGGCTGACATTGCTGAAGACAGAGACGTCCTGGGGTCGGGGGGGGGGGGGGGACCAGGAACCAGGCTGGCTCCAGGTGGGGTGCCATGGCTGACCACAAGCAATGCCCTCTTCCCCCCCCCCCCCCCCCACAGGGAAGCAGCAACAGCTGGCTCTGCCCGGCCCCATTCCTGAGCCAAAGAATCATTGTTGGTTCAACCACAACATGTGGGCGGGCACAGACCATCCAAATAACACTCAACCGAAAGTGGGCCCTCTTCTGAGGGGCACCGGCGAGGACTCGGGCCTGTGCAAGGCAGGCAAGGCAGGGGGCCTCGCAGCCGCTGCTGGGCAGGGCCGGGTTGACACCGGCAGGGCCGGGACCACCCGCTCCGCTCCGCCACGCGGGCAGAGGCCATGTGAAACAGTGCACAGTGCACATTCCAGGAGGCAACAAAATGCTGAGACCGAGGCAGAAAGAAAGGGAACGTTTGAACAGTCAAATAAGACATTAAAGAGATTCCAGTAGAGAGCCAAGCACAGGAGCACGTGCCTGTAATCCCAGCTACTTGGAGCAGTGGGCGGGTTGTGGGGGGGGGGGGGGTAAGCCAGGTCACCAGCTTGGGCAACTTAATGAGATCCTGTTTGACAGTAAAGTAGGGCTGGGTATACAGCCCAGTCCAGTGGTAGAGCACCTGCCTGGCATGTGCAGGAAGGAGGGAGGGAGGGAGGGAGGGAGGGAGATTGTGTTGCAGATCAGTTGTGATGTGAAGGGCACACACCTGTGGAGAAGCTTCCGGAGCACAGGGCAGGCAGTGGGATTCCTCTGAGGCCCGCTGCCCCCCATTCTCTCCAACATGCACCCATCATCCACAGCACCTCGGCTCAGCACGCACACCCCGGTTACCAGCTCAGAAAACCCCGGTCTGTTTGGATCAGCTTCCCGTGGTCCATGTGACCCTCCCCGGCCCCCTCAGGGTGTGGGCAGGCTCAGCAGAGATGTCCTCTGACTGCCTCCCACCTCATGCTGCTTCTCTGGCTTTTGAGTTTTGTTGGGAGTATTGCTGAGATTCAAACTCAAGGCCTTGCACATTCTAGACAGATGCTTGACCACTTGAACCATGCCCCCACCTTCCCCCTCCCCGTTTTTTTGCTCCAGTTATTTTTCAGTTATTTTTCAGGTAGGGTCTATCTTTTGTCTAGGTTAGCCTTGGACAGTAATCCTCTTCTCTCTGCCTCTCAAATAGCTGGGATTCCAGGCATGGACCACTACACTCAGCTTTTTCTTTGAACTAGGGCTTTGCGAGCTTTTGGCCCTGGTGGTCATTGAACTGTGATCAAGTAGCTGGGTTTAAAGGCATACCTCACTGGGCACGGCCTGCAGCAAAAGCTGGCAAGCCTGAACCCCACAAAGCCCTGCTGTGCAAGGGATGAACTCACAGGAGCTCCAAAGTCACCAGCCTGGGACACAAGGGCTCCCCATTCTAGGTCACTCAGCAGTGTGTGTGTGTGGGGGGGGGGGACGGGGAGCGTTGGTTTCCTATGTCTCCGCCCACCTTCCTAGGAAAGTTCTTCCTGCGTGGAAAGTGGATATTTTAACATCTCAAGCGTGGGAGGTGGAAAAAGTCCCTTTTTGGCCCTCTGGCTAGAGGCTATTTAGAGCCTGTGACAGGGCCTCCTCCCACGGGGGGCCGGAGACCCCTCCAACCAGGGCTGCAGAGTAACTGCAAAACTCCAATCAGCCCATCCCAAGGGAGCCCTGAACCCGCCCCCCCCCCAAAAAAAAAAACAGGCTGGGCCTTGCTGTCTCCTGAGGTCCGGACTCGGGATGAAGGGTCGTGGAGAGTCTCCACCTTCGGCTCCTGCCAGGGGTCCCGGTGCTCCAGGGCCCCACGGGGCCTTGGAACTGCATGGGTGGCATTTCAGCCTTCCACGGCGGGCGGCCTGGTCTCTGGCGCAGGCTGCAGGGTGGGTGAGCATCGGGTCCGGCCCGGGCAGCGTGAGATCCTGTGCGCATGCGCAACCTTCCACCCCGAGCTCAGACCGCAAGGCGGGCAGAATGACACCCGCTCCGAGGGTCTCCGAGGGGTCCTCATCCAGGTCTCGAGGCAGCTGCCCCAGCCCCCCACCGCGGGGAGCAGCACAAGCTGGGGCCCAGGGGCCTCCAGGGTGCCTGGGCACCCTGGCACCACAGCCTGGGACCTGGTCCTCTCTCGGCTAACCTCCACCAAGACGCAGGTCCAAGCTGGACCCCACTTAACAGGAGAGGTGAAAGGAGCGGAAGGGTCCCCACCCAGGGTCATGGGCACTGGCCATGTGGGGGTGGGGGGGAGTGACTTGGAGAAGATGCCTGTCTAAGGGTTCTGTCCTGAGCCCTAGCCTGGCCTCGATTAAATGAACCCAGGAGATGACCTGGGTGTGCAGAGGGGCCTCGCGGAAGGGGGGGCAGGGCCAGAAGGGGAGGTCAGAGCTACATAATTGCTGCCCCCTTTCAACTTCCCCAAGAAATGAGGCGGCTTCCAGAGCCGGAGAGGGCCAGGCGTGATCCTGACCCCCATTTCCAAATCACTGCACGAGAACGGATTTGTGGTTTGAGCGACTACACCTGGGGTCACTTATTACAGCGGCCAAAGAAACCCACACCGTGCTCACACACAGGCATGGCTTCTCCTCAGGCCGCTGTGTCACCTAACTAGGTCGGCAGGAAGGAGAGAAGCCCTGCACACAAGCACCCCAAAGTCACGGGCAGGCTGCCACCTGAGGGGGGGTGCAGGGACACGTGTCCCTAGCAGAGGGCTAGAATGCGGAAAGCCTCTTGAGAGACTGGGGAGGGGCGGGAGAGGGTGGGGGGACACAGGTGCAGGCAGGCCCCCAGGACCTCTGACCACGGACGTCGGGTCCTGAGAACGGGGGTACAGGAACAGCAGGAACGGGGGGGAGCGAGGGGATGACCATGTCCCAAACTGCCCCCCCCAACCTGCAGGATCGCTCTGCTGCCTTCCACAAAACCGTGAGGCTGGCATGCCAGGCACAGCTGCCAGGCCACGGGGCACTG